GCTGCTGGTTTATTAGCAATTCCACTTCATAATGCAATTTGTCGATAATTTTCATGACAATATTCGTTTTTTTATGTTTAGCTTTCTGTGTGAAAATTAATTGTTTACAACTATTTTTGATAAAAACCAGTGCAATTCTTCTTTTTTTTTCATTTTGGTAATTTTTTTAGATGGCTGAAAATGATTTTCAAAATAAAACAGTATGTGTTACAGGTGCCGGAAGAGGTCTGTTATCGGAGAGATTATTTATTCTGTTATATTAAAAGAAAAATATTGTTTAGGTATTGGTAAATCATTGGCTTTACGATTGGCTGAACTTGGAGCTAAAGTTATTGCAGTTAGTAAATCTGATGAGAATTTAAAACAACTTGCTGCACAAGTAAAATATTTTAATTTTAATTTATTCTATTGAATATACATTTATATATATTATATTTTAAATAGAATAATAAGATCATTCCAGTATGTGTTGATTTATGTGATTGGAACGCAACTAAAGAAGCTATTAAACCACATCTTCCAATTCAATTATTAGTTAATAATGCTGCTGTTGCTATTCTTGATTCATTTTTAGAAGTTAAGCCTGATGATTTTGATTCGTATGTAATAGAATTTAAATCGATATGAAATATTTATATTGTTCTTTTATCTTACATAGATTATTTAATATCAATGTCAAATCCATTATATGTGTTAGTCAGGTATTCTGTAATTAAAATTATCTAATATATAAATAAGAATAATGAGTTTAATAGGAAATAGCATGTGATTTAATTGAACGTAAAATGTCTGGTTCAATTGTTAATGTATCGAGTCAAGCAGCATCAGCAGCACTTAAAGATCATAGTATTTATTGTGCATCAAAAGCAGCCGTTGATGGCTTAACACGTGTAATGGCAATGGAATTAGGTGCTCATCAAGTAAGAGTCTCTCTCACATGCATTTAATTACGAGTAATTTGTTTGTTTTAGATTCGAGTCAATAGTGTACAACCAACAGTAAGACTTTTATGTTCATAAAGTCATTTTTCATTGCTTTTATTTGTTATATATAGGTTGTTTTAACAGATATGGGTCGTATAGGTTGGTCTGATGATAAGAAAGCTGCTGGAATGTTATCAAAGATTCCATTAAATAAATTTGCTGGTTTGAAAACATTAAAATTGTATTTTCATAAATATTCTATTCATTTGTATAGAAGTGGAAGATGTTGTTGAGCCAATTATCTTTTTACTCTCAAATAAATCTCAAATGATTAATGGCGTTAGTTTACCTATCGGTAATGTAAACAAATTTCATTTTCAAATGAACTAAATACTATGATATAACATAATTCTAATTGTTTTTTCTTTATAGATGGTGGATTTTTAGCTACATAATAACCTACAAACAATAATGGTTCACTGTCATAATTATATTTATCTCGTAGCTTTAGCATGTAACATTTATTCCGTAATTCACTTGATTTCATCCAATGCAATAATTTTGAATCGTAGTTTTTCTTTTGAAAAGTATTCTTTATTTTAATAAATTTTCTAAAAGTTGCGATAGTGAGGAACATATATTGTAAATCATATATCAATGATAGAAGGCCTACTATTAAAGACATCGGTGAATTATGCTATATTAACAAAAGTATTTTGATATATTAATTGTGATATTAGCTATAATACAAAATCATCTTGAGGATTTAGATGCGAGCGTTAACTTCATCATCGCCGAATTATTTTGTGGAATCTTATGCAGAAGTTAAAAAACTACCTGATGATTTAACCTTTGAATACGGTCGAAACTATAGTCGTAGTATTTCTATAAATATAATACAAACCCACATCCACCCCAGTCCAGCCATCTGGTGATCTCCGTAGCGCGAGTGAAATCTGGATTATGGTAGCTGTTCACACCCACACCCATTATTCCATTAGAACAAAGTTAATTTTTTGTGAACGCTAGATAGTAGCAGAGTTTGAGCCGCTCTACAAAATTGTATAAGAGGCCATCTTTCGATTTCCGTTAGAAAACGCGACAGAATGTTTTTCCCTGTCAGAGTAGTTTTTCGCTTATAGTCTGCTGGAGTGTCGCTATTACGCAATTGATACCTAATAACGACATCAGGACTTCTTGATCGCAGATCACTAATTTCGTTATCATTTCAAATTAGAAAAAAAATTTATATATCGTTAAAATGAGAAGAATCCAAAGATCATCCAAATATAAAAACATCTTTGGATTATATGAGAAATAGAACAAGATAAGAGAAAATTTATCCGTTGTTATTAGGGAAACTGTCTCTGGTTGCTTGCTAAATTTTTCATAATTATGTGTGCTTAACATGTTGCTAAAAAACGACAGTTAGAAATCACAGCTTAATTTCTCATTTATTTGTAAAACAGTTTAGCATCTTTGATTATAATAGGTAAGTATTTATTCTGTATTAGAACTCCTGTATAATAAGTAGTATGTTGATAGGCGAAAAGAAAAATATTCTATGTTTATCTAGTTTAACAGCACCGTGTTGTAAAGTGATAAATGTTTATAATCGTTGATCAGTATCCAGATTAAAAGCTCTTTCAAAAACTCTCAATTTCTGATCTGTCCCACTAAGAAACCAAATATGTTGGAACGCATGACGCTGTTGAGTATTTAAATTTGGGTCTAGTGGTTTCAATAAAACTTCAGCCCATAATTTAGCAATCGATTCAAGTTTATTTTTGAAAGCTCCACATCCAATAGGACCTAGAATAAGATAAGTATTTTCTCCATTCCCTTCTGTATTTGCTTGAGCGGCAGCAATGATTGTTTCCAGTTTTTTTTTCGTATTAAATTCAATTGCTTCAGCTGAATGCGGTGTTTCATGTAAGCCATGTCTGCCTGTTAAATCATAACAAGCAGCAGCAACAATATCAACGATACGTCTCTGCTTAAACGCAGGTGGTTTAAAAAATTGAACGTGTTTAATATATAAGCATCCAAATTCAGGAATAAAGAATCCGCCATCAAATCGGTTATATTTAAGATCGAGTAAAGCTTGATATGTATCAGAATTATAACAGATTGTTTCTTCTTGTGTTGTAGCACCGTAAAGAAAAAATCCACCAGGCATTCTTTCATCTGCAAAATCCAAAACAATTACCTGTTTACCAGGCGGAATATCAAAGATAACATTTTCAACTCTTCCTTGTTTAGTATTTATTTGACCTTCATTTTTGCGTTCAAAAATGGGATAGTTGCTCATATAATCACGTGCATCACCATCGACAAAACCAGTTGTATTGAATGTTACTTTAGTATGAGGAATATTATCAATTTCTTTTGAATTGAAATATATTTTTAATTGCTCTGGTTGAAATCCTTCCTTATTCATAAATTGACGCGCGCTTTTTGCTTTTTCATCAATTTTTGATGATTTACTTTCCAATTCCCAATATGATTCAAGCTTATTATCGTAAGTTCTATCAAATTCTCTTCTAAAAAAATCAAATTGTTTTAACTTGTTAAAATGGTCTTCTAATCGTGTAATTTGTGTTATATCAATATAAGAAGATAGATCGAAATCAGTTGCATGTATCTTCAACAAATACTTCAGTGCGACTTTCCGACCACCAAAAAGATCAACACGATCAGTATCATCATTTAAACATAATTTGACAAGACTTTCAATATCTTCACGTTGTAATGATTCAATTGGAATATAAAGTAATGATGACATTTCTTATTATTATTTATTATCTATATATATATATATAAAGAAGAAGGTTTCTTAGTTTGTCTGTTGTTTATGCATGAAGTTCCTGTGAGAGCTAGCTTCAACAAACTTTTACACGATATTTCTCTAGGTCCGCAGACAGGTCGAGAGACGATTCGTTCGATCAAGAGCGATGAGGAAGGGGATGTTGGGTGAAATTTCACCCAGGTAGTCTTTATATTAGCTAACCTCACCAAATTTTCTATGGTACTTCAGAAAATCCAGAGAAGAGTCGAGACATGATTGAGGTCATTAAGAAAGGTGACGAAGCTAGAGCTGGGTAAAACTTCGCTGTCTTTCGGTAAACTGTACTTTTGGATCGCTGTAAAAGCTATTGTCGCAAAACTTCGTACGGCATTTCTCTTGGTCCACAAGGAGATTAAAGTGTATCCGGTGCGACCAACGGGATGGGTGAGAAGAGCTTGCATGAAACATCAGCCAGTTTTCACCAACTATGGTTATCTCCGATCTTTTACTCATTTAGGAACGTTCTCTATAATTGTACTCTGTCAAAAAAGGAGGTGTCATAGTGAACCTTTTTAGGGTCTAGTGAAGAAATCTAGAACTAAAAATATTTTTAGCCAGAGACGCGAAATCAAAAAGACTTTCGAATTTTTTTCTACAATCTAAAAAGGTTCTAGTTCTTCGCTAAAATCTTTTATAGTTCACTACGACATCTTTTTTTCTAGAGAGTAGAGCATTCATCTACTAGACTTCGAAAAAATAGAAGTGAGCACATAAATATGTGTAAACTTCGTGGCAGTCAGGATCAAAAAACGCATACATCTTGATGTGTTCGAGGTGCGCCGACAAAATTAACAATTTTTTTCGTCGAAAATTTTCATCCGTTCTAATTGAGCCAGACAATGTCCTCTCTGCGAGATTTTCCGTGAAACTGTAAAAATATTACTTCATTCTTCTGTTTGAATATGTTGTGAAGTCCTATTTGTGTGTTTACTCTTCACTTGTTTTTTTCTCTCCCTGATGGCTTACTTCAGAACTGTTGTTCTCTAACACAAAAAAGACGAGAGAAAAAGCAGAAAAAAACATTTTCTTTCACGGTGGAACCTATTTAAGTGGGTTTGCGGGTTAGGATCTGGGTGAAGGTGGGTAAAGGTGTAGGTGTGGGCGAGTGTGGGTGGGTGTGGGTGTTCGTATGTGTAGATGTAGGTGTTGGTGTGGGTGGATGTGGATGGGTGTGGTTTAAGTCTGATGTGGATTTGGATAAGAGTGTGAGTGTAGATGTGTGACTTTGTTCTGTTATGTTGCGTTCACCCACACCCACCCATACACCTACACCACACCCTCAAGATGAAGAGAATCTATAGAACTGGCCTTCATCTGTCTTGTGTGTTGCTTTCAACTATTCATCGTCACTATCAGAATAATAAAGAAGAAGTTTAATAAGATCTCTTACATTTTATTCAGTATATTTTCGTTAAAAAATTGGGGTTTACGATCAATAGTCTAACAGCGCTTGAAAAGGACAAACTTTTCCAGTTCGGAATCATATTGAGTGACTGTAATGCCTTGGGGTCGATCAGTACCGAACATCTTCTGTAGCTTTTTGTGAGATGATTCTTCGTGGCCCGTAAATATTAAACAGGATTGTTTGAAACCCAAGTTACGCACCTCCATTAGTAATCGAACACCCGCCATACTGGGATCATCTTCATTTGTTCGCTTCATATCAGTCACGATACGAAATGATTCCCTATCTTTAAGACGCTGCCCAAATTCTGAACGCAGAAACGAAAGTGCTGAATCCGTGTTTGATTTTGGAATGAAGTGTACATTCACACTGGTGCCTAAAGTAGTTGCCTTTTCCATGAGTTGTTTATTTCCCCAATTTTCATCAAAAATATTGTCATCAACCCACAAGATAACGTATTTGCTTAGGCCCAACTCAATCTAATAGACAAAAATATGTATTTTAGGTAGCCAACTATGTGCGAATGTGTGACTTACTTGTCTCAGAAATATTTGCCTTTGAGGTTCACGTTCTACTACACGGCATACAAGGAAAGACGAATGTGGAAGAAAAAGTACTTCGTCTTCTTCCTCGGCACAATTGGAGAAGTATTGTATGGCTCGACCAGTAAGCGATGTTATTTTAAAAACTGTATTGCGCCCAGTAAAATGAGTCATATTATCTCCACCTTTGTCTGCACTACTGAATTGAAGCCAAGTCAAGATTTCACCAGGTTTATAATCTTTTGCATCTTCTTTATCCAAGTTGACATAGCGTGTCACAACGCCCCAATAGAAATCGATACGAGAGAGGCCTTTTATTAGGTAATACATAACCATTAGTGCATCGCTATTGAGCTTTTCTTCATCTGTGTACAATTCAGCCACCTTTCGTTCCATTCGACAAACATAATTTGCTGACGTGCTCACCAATGCGCTGTAGCCACCTGAATAGAATGCAATAGCCATAGCGCAGGCTTTGGCTTCATCTTTTGAAATTCCTCGCTTTGTGAAATATGTGTATGTTTCCATGCTCTTTTTATAGTGTTGATCGGAATTTCTATCCAACTGTTCACAGGCTTTCTTAAGAGTTCCGAACGATGGAGTTATACCATTCGCCAGCTTTTTTTCTAACATTGGACCAAAATCGTCTTCAATGATAGCATACTCATCGCGTTTTTCACGTAGTGTTCTCTCGTTCATATAGAGGACTGCACGCTCAAGATAGTTTTCGACAACTTCATCATTATATGATTCAGAGTTCTTAAGTTTCTCAAAATTACGTATTTGACCAACAGGTTGCACGTACATGCGTTGCCGTAACTTTTTATCTTTATCTCCGAAATCATCGATTGCCACTTGCGCATGCTTGAGTGCGTCATTGTTACTATATCTTTCTAGTAATCGCCTTTGATTTTCTTCCGAGATCGTCCATTTCTGTTTATCGGATTTGCTGAATGCCATAGATCCAATATATTCGCTATACCAACGTATATGTAAGAGAGAGTCGAAGAGATCACTACCTAAATTCGTCGTCAAAAGGTTTAGACTTTTCAAATAAGTTTGTTAATTCGAAACAGTAAGAAAACACAGACATGTTACCTAAAAGTTTAATAGTAACTCAACCCCAAATCAGTATACCGAAAACTATAAATATTCATACATTTTGTTTTTTCACATATTTAGTAAGAAGATGTAACCGGCGGCGGTCCTATTTGACAATGACGAATATAATAAAACATGCATTACAAATATAAGGTTTCTCAAAGCAAGACTAGAAGTGCTTCTTTATTTTTACTTTCGAGTATAATAAGGAATAGAATAAAAATAAAGGCACACCCCTAATTTACTTAGGTAAGCGTTCCAACTCTAGTCACACCAGTTCTAGGTAGAGCTTGGTGAGCACTATCGATTGCAATTATAATATTTTCATACACACACACACCATCTCACCCTCTCTGGCATCCACCCAAAATCGCAGGTTTTCTTGCGAAAATTCACATCAGTGACGGTTCCAGGCGAACTAGCATAGCTTTTACTGCGATTTTTTTCTAATTTGGAAGGTTTTGGGTATTGGCTGAGGTAGGAGTGAGGGCTAAAAATATTGTAATTGAAATTAATAGAGTTCATCGATTTGGGCCTGGAACTAGTGTGATTAGAGTTGTAACGCAGACCTAAACAAGTCCGTCTCGGGAAAAGTTGAATCAGGAGCTAAGATATCCTACGTGTGGATATGTGATCCTATTCAAATAATTACAAAACGTTTTACTTATTGTTATCCTCGAAAAGACAACTTCATAGGTAATACAGACTTCGTTGTAGACAACTGCTTTTGAGAACTTTAGGCACGTTGAAGAAGTGACAAAGAGAGTTGCTTTTTCAGCGAAAGTTGACAACTCTATACACGAATGCAGCTCGCAGCAATAAAACATCATCTTACAAAAAAAGTCAAATCTAAAGAAAATAGGATATGGGTGGGTATCTGCTGTCTAGATACCCGCTCACCTTGACCCACCCTCGAGGTATAAAAATATATAAAACTTTGATTCCGAGTAGAACAAAACAACACTGTATATTAAGAACATGGTATGTATAGAAACAAATACTTTCGAAACTGGAATCGACAACCAACTTCCAGAGTACAGAGAGTACTAACAGCTAGCTACTGATCAATTGGCATATTTAGACTTCAAGCTTGAAAGGAATTTTATCTGCTTTTAGCAGAAGTTTTAGAAAGACATAAAAGGTTACTTTACGATCCAAATATACTGGAAGTGCATATATGCTCTCATTCATATTTCATCGATACGTAGTGCACATTCAGTGAATCAGGCAATACGTGCGAATTGTAGCAGAAGTAAAATATTAATGAAGAGAACGATAACAAACAGATTTACATGTAAAGTTCGAAACAGAAAAAGTATATGTGTTCCACAAAGTGTAATATGCACTGTTGTGTTCGAAATGATTTTGTGAAAAAACTATTAACACTTATAAATCTGTCAGATTTATAAGTATTTATAAATAGTTCGCAATCTGATGAATTTATAAATTAGCTTCAGATTTTTAAATAGTTCAGGTGTTCGTAGATTGCCTAGCAGACGTTCAGAATCTCACGCTACAGTTGAAAAATCTATGTACCAAAGCATTTATGAAAATTCTCCGGTAGAAATCCACTTAGACTATCAGTATTGTTTTTATGCTGTATATGCAAGTATAGAAGTCAAGCCACATTATAAAATCGATTTCAAGTTTATAGATCAAAAACTGATTTATAAATATCGAAAATGTTTACGAATGTTTAAATTTTCGGCTCAAAAATTTATGATTGATAAATCAACATATTTCGAACTCGTTCAATGGTAATATGGTACAAAATTTTATTGGTGATTGAAATACACTTCTTTGCTTTCAATCATTACGTTACAGATTTTTCGAGCAAGGTGGGAAAACCAAATCTACTCTTCTTGAACTATGGATTTATCAGCATTTGCTTACCTCTCCTGACAAACTAACTTATTGTTTCGTACTAATCTTTCTACGAATCACTTTATTCACTGATCCCTTCTTTTTACTCACCGAAAATACTTTTGTCGCTTGCAAAGATGATCAGTTGTTGTTTCTACACAGCTATATATACCCACCACCACAGAACAAAACTCAGTGCTCGTTCGTAGAAAAAACAAACTAATCAGAGAGTTTTTTTTTCTGTTTACTACTGCTAATGGATACAGTCAATTCGCTTCAGACTCTTTTCGTTGCTAGAAAAAATACTTACGTTTCAACACAACTTCTTACTCATATTACAACAAACATCAGACAATCCTCGTCGAAAAATATGTTTGTCTTATTCACAGAAAATAAAAGGGTGAGGGTGTAGATGGTTATGGGTATGGGTATGGGTATGGGTGTGGGTGTGGGTGTGGATGTGGGTGTGAGTGTGGATGTGGGTGTGAGTATGGATTTGGGTGTGGGTGTGGGTGTGGGTGTGGGTGTGGATGTGGGTGTGGGCGTGATTATATTTATTTTCGATCCACACTCACACACACACGCACATCCTCACCATCAAGATGAAGATCTTCAGCCACATCCTCACCCAAACCCATCGCCAATTTTCTCACGCCATCTAAGCACAGACGCATTTTTTCCGCGAATAAGAAAAAGAAACACCTGGAGAAGAGAGAGATGTTTTTTTGTTCTAGTGTATTCGGTGACGTTTTTTTTGATCACAATAAATCAGAACAGTCCACTCAAACAAACATTGAAAAAACAACGTTTTTCTGCGTAAAAAATTTTTTATTGTAAGAAAAATGAATTTCATAACATTAGTATTTGCAGGCTTGCTTTTTCTTTAAAAATATTTTTTTACGCGGAAAAGTGTACGGTTTTTATGCGTAAAAACGTATTTTTTGAAAGCTAGCCTGGGTGAGTGTGGTGGATGGGTGTGGATGTGAATGTTGTTATCCGTTGTAGTATTGCACCCACACCCCACCCTTTTACAGTGTAGTTTTGAAGTTTAACAACGGTGTGGGTGTGGGTGGGGGTGACAGATGAAGATCTTCAACCACATCCTCACCCGCACCCATTGCCAACTTTCTCTCATCCTTTAAAAATAAACGCATTTTTCCCGCGAATAAGAAATAATACACCTTGAGAAGAGAGAGATGTTTTTTTTCTCACAGTGCATGTTGTGAGGTTGTTTTGATCGTAATAAATCAGAATAGTCCACTCAGGCAAGCGTTGTAAAAAACGACGTTTTTCCGCGTAAAAAAGTGCGATTTTTATGCGTAAGAACGTATGGTTTTCAAAGCTAGCCTGACTGGGAGACAGTAACAAACAGGTAACTCTTCAGAAGAGAATGTGAGTGTTAATTACAAATAAATGTAGTACTTACACTAACACTCATCCCACTCACATCCACCCACACTCACGCCTAAATGAGGCAGTAAAAATCCATTTTTTCAATTTTTTTAACAGAAAAAGAACAAAACGTTTTCGGAGGCGGTGGGGGTGCAGCATCTTTTTTCGATTTTTAGCAAAAAGTAACAAATTTTTTTTAAAGCAGACGACGTCATCCCCTTTCCGGATCGGTACCCTTTGAGCCAGCCATATTACTTCATAATTTTCTGATGATTTAAGATCAGTCTAGTCTTTCAGCTTTTTTTGTATTTTTCTGTTATCAGCAGAGGTTGAGCTTGTATTCACTGTTTCATGTGTAAGAGAATCTGTTGTATTATGCAGAATTGCAGACGTTAACTCACGATTCTTCACATTCTATTAATTAAGAAACGACCGAATTGCACCACTTATTAATTCTTTTGAAGATTGGTTCATCTTTAAACTATGAGTTTTGATTTGTAAACACTATTTCTGAAACGTTATTTTCTCTTCTTTACTTGATTGTTATACAAAAAGAATGAAAAAATAATGTTTCGATTATCGAGTAGTAGTAGATTCTATTAAGTTATGAATCTGTCTATACTACTCTTAAGATATAACTAGTTATCAAAAATTTAGTCTTATACAACTTTCACAACAACATAATGAAAAAATAGTATATTTAACAAAAAACAATTTGCTCGGTGATATAGCAGTATCAGGCCTTGGATACGCCACTACTGTAAAATGAAATAGAAGACCAGGGGATCTTTCATTATAGCGGGGGGGGGGGGGGAGGGGGCGAGGGGAGGAGGAGTTAGGGATGGAAAGAATAGGCATGTAAAATTATTGATTTGGATCTAGTTTTGAATGAAAAGAGTCATGAAAAATTATTTCTAGTATTTCGTTAATACCATAGTTTAGATACTTCCTTTTTTTATATTTCGCTCTATTTCTTGTTACACTCGGAAGTGCTGAGAAAGAACATGCAAAATACTTAAGCATTGACGGTTGTTTGATTAGCGTGGTCATGTGTATGTGTGTGGGTTTAATTAACTTGAGTAACATCGCTCTAAAACATAGTCACAGCCTCTCACATATACTCCTCAATTTTCTTTTCAACAAAGTAATTTTCCAGTTCTATTATATTGTTTTACATTACAGAGACAAGACAACATCAATCTAACGTTTAAAACATACAAGTTTTTTTAACAACACGTCGAAATTCATTTCTAAAAGTTTTTGCCGTTGCAAAATAAACATAGAAACTTAAACAGGTTGGTAGGAACAGTAGTAGAACAAATAAATTATAGACAAATAATTCAACAGCTAGTCTCTGATAAGATTTTTCATAACTGCGTGTGACGACTGCATATACTTGAAAGACGGATGATGGGATTTGACATAAGACAGTTACCAATACTTGTGTGAGAAGCATAACAATCAATTGACGTTCTTTCTCATTAGGACGATATTGCAAGATATCATTTATTGGCAGAACTGTATCGAGAAAACGAATTAAATTGGTCAGTGTAATGGACCTATCAAAAGAATAACACATTATTTATCAAAGATGAGAATCAAACAAGGTCATAATATTATATATTGATGCTCACCGTTAATCTCTTGCAAAGAGACTGAAAACTTACCCTAAAATGATCAATATTATCGGTGGTAGAAGTCCATAGCTAACTGCAAAAAAGACAAAAATAAAATTATTGAAAAAATTGCCAGGTAGTGGCGTGCATATGGGTTGTCCAGTTGAAAGTTGCTCGATATCAGTGTAGATCAAAGCAGGAATATTGAACAGTAACCAGAATAGTGTTACACCACAAATAGAATAAACAGCCACTTTGACTGAACTATACTGACGAATAATCAATCTTCTTGAAGTCGCACAGGTACGATCGAATACCGCTAAAATAAGAAAAGCAGGTAGTAAGTTAATTGTTACGTAAATTATGTAAGTGCGAATTTGACAGGCAGTCTGTGATTGTGTGCCAAGATCAGTTGAGAAGCCAATGCTAAGTGAAGCTGTGAGTGCGACAAAATCAATCCAACAGATACTAACAATAGTATAGGCTAGTATATAAATTGAACATGGGTTTGTACGAAGATAAGGTTGGAGGAAAACAATTAAATTAAATAGATTTCCTACTGTGCCAAATGCTATAAATAATGGCAACAAATAGTGATGCAGATAATACTGAGCAGTGTTTAGAGTAGTCAAGAGATCTTCTGTTGGAGACGACATTCTGCTTCGTATTTTACTTCGAATATAAGAATACTAGATTCTCAAACAAAAGAACTTTTCTTTTATATGTGTCTATATAAGAGATATATTCACTCTTTCTTCTGCAGTGTGTAGCAGCTGTATGAATGTGTCAACCGAGTTTTTTTTTATAAAAAGACTCATTTTTTCTCTCAAAAAAATCTCTATAGTAATTATCATCTGTATATAATTGGGTAAAACATTTTTTTCACAACTCATGTCTTAGAACGACTGAGATTTATTTTCGATGAAACGCAAGAAAAGAAAGGAATCTTCTTTGCTCACGCAAGCTTATTAAAACAATAAGCTGATAAATATTCCCTGTTGTCGAAGAGATGAAGTACTTTAATTTGAGGATAATAGAAACTTCAATTAACTTTGAGATGATTATGATACAAGCTTATTTTTCTGAAACGGTATGACGTCTTTGATAATAACTTAAGCGCTAAATGGATCATTTTCTCCAAAACAAGACGTAGGAGTTTATATGGTAATGTATTGTATAAAACATGTCACACGATATTGTGTGTGAGTGTGAGTATCAAATTTGACAATCACACACACACACATATCTCACTATATCAAATCAAACTATTTCTTTCATTGTTACATGACGTTTGGTTGACTAATTATAATGTCAAGTCTAGAAATCAATTTTTATGATCATTTATGATGCATTAGTCATGTTCTTAGTTTTGTTTACTACTGCCTGTAATAGATATATACAATTAAACGAGAGTATGACCGAAGACATCGGTTCGTGAAGAATAGTATTTGTTTATTTAAGAATTATGATACAATATCGGAAATGATAAAAATGAAATGAATAACTTCTTATTCTTGATAGAGATGGTAATAATGTTCAGCTGATCTTCAGAAAATATTTACGACTCTATGGTCAGTAAAAACCTTGTCCACATTGTTGTGGATTATAACTTGGTCCACCTTGTTGTGGATAATAATTTGATCCTCCCTGTTGTGGATTATAGCCTGGTCCACCTGGTTGTGGGTAGTAATTTGGTCCGCCTTGTTGTGGATAATAACCTGATCCCCCTTGTTGCGGGTAATAATTTGGTCCACCTTGTTGTGGATAATACTCAGGTCCCCCTTGTTGTGGATTATAACCTGGTCCCCCTTGTTGTGGATTATAACCTGGTCCACCTGGCTGCTGATAATAATTTTGAGCGGATCCGTACTGATTTTGTTCGTAGTTAAAAGTTCCACCTGGTCCGTATTGTTCATTAGCGATATGATGTGCTTGATCAATAGCACGCCGTTTGGCCTTTTCTCGATCAAGAAAATCGAGTCCTTTCGTTTCAAAAAGTCTATCAACCTCGGCGGCAGCAAAACCTGCAAGCATTTCCTTCATCAACGGATGTGATACTTTTTCACCTGTACTACGAACATGATCTTCATAAGCTTTCATGGCTAAACAAATAAAAATTATATATCTAATTTTAGTTTTCAGCTTTCGATACAAATCTCGATTTAGTTGAATATGATATTATAGTTCTCAATGAATACTGATCAACGACATCACTCGTGTCTGGAATGCATTATCTATAAGAGTGTTCTAAGGTGAGCAGTCTACCGTCACTATAAACTTCGTAATTTAACGAAAAATGACCGTATGTAACGGTATTGTTTTAAAAATGCATTGAGAACGTTTTCCCACCTGTTTTTCATGATACTAGATGAAATGTTTAAGCTTTTTTCCATAGAAATATACATCTAAGTGTGCTAGATATATTAATTAAAAGATGAAATCAATTGCTTGAATACTCAAGTATCTGGACCTGTAACAATATCTTAATGTTGACTAGAGCGCTATTTTACTCTAATAAGTAATATATATTCCAAAAATTTCAGTAGATCACAAAAACTTATGAAAGAACATTTCATATAATATTGAAAACAGACCGCTCGCTTTAATACACTCGTATAACTAATGCAATCGAAATCTAGGTGATGTCGCTGATCAACAGTCGTTGAAAACTATATACACACAAGTTTTCAAGTTTACAACTCTTCTTCTCGTTAAGATACCATGTAGATTATATAGTGATAAAAGGTTTTCTTAAAACGACTATAAAAAGAACATGAATCTAACCTGCAAAACCTGCTGCACCACCGATCAGTTCATGTGTCCATGATGCTTTATGGTGAGGTTGTTGCATATTGTCTCCATAGTTTTGATAATCGCCACCATAATTATTTTGTTGTTGATATACCTGATCATAAGCGTTTTTACTATGACCCAAACCCAAAAGATCAAGAAGAAACGCCATTTTTTTAATATAAACTTGTAAGTGTCACACCTTCTTTAAAACAGCGAATGCGTAAATGTGCGTTAGTTTTCCTTTGACAACAAATTATAGGCGAGGCAAGAAAAAAATTCTTTCATTTATTAGTCATTGTAAAGAGCAAAAATGTCGAGCTCAACGTAAAAGTGCATTCAAAAGAAAGAAGAAAAAAAAGTGCTTCGCATTTCTTATGATGACGCCGAGATATTCATTATATCGTCATCGTTTCTTCGCGACGACAACAGGACACCTCCACAATTCCAAAGAAAAAATATCGGAAAAAGATATGTAAAGAAAATATGGCTCTATGACGTATGAGAAAATTTCGTTGTACGTCACAAACAATACTAAAGTAAATGATTAATTCATTTTATTTTTTCTATTTTGAAAAAGACAGTTTCAACCTCAATCACTATATATTCATTGATTTCGATAAATAATAAATTTAATATGGAAGTGGCTATATGCACTCGAGTGTACATAGCTACCTGGCTATGTGCACTTAAGTGTACATAGTCAAGCGGCTATGTGCACTCAAGTGTACGTAGTCAGGCGGTTATGTACACTCAGACAGTCTTAGAAAATATTTAGCAAAAATTAAGTTAAATCAGTCTTATATGCACTTCATTTTTAACATATATGAAATTCCTAAAGGAGACCCCCTTTCCAAACTCAAAAAATTTTTTTTCGATTTTTTTATTTAACAGAAAGTTGTATGAAGGTCCCTTCTAGGTGTGCTATAGAAATTAGAACTTCCCAGGGTCTGGAAATCTCTAGAAAACCAGGCTTTTTGAAGACTTATGAAAAAAAAATTTATTTTTTTTACTAAAAAGTTATATTATGATGTAGTATATTTCTACTGTCAAAATCAGAACCATCCAAGGTCGATAGGTCTCTGAAAAACCAAAGGGTTTGGCAACATATGCAACAAAAAAAAA